GTGAATGTCCTGCCGAGGCCTTTCTTCTCCCACCCCCCCCCCCCCCCCGATTCTCTCTCCCATGCCACTGGCTGGACAGGGAAGTGAGTGAGCGGCTGCGTGGTGCTTAGTGGCTGGCTGGGGTTAAACCACAACAACCGTCTCAAAAGTTCTAATACCACACTATCATCCCCCAAATTACTCCACACTTATGTGCAGGGTTTTGATTTAAACTTTTAAATATAACAATACATACAGTTTTGAAACATCTTCAAAATGACGTTGGATGCTTTTCTGAAGGAACTGTATCACAGGGAGCAGCTTCACTGACCTTGAATGGAGAAAACATGCAATTTGCAGTGCAATTTATGCTTATATATGGAAATCTAGAACTTTTCTATACTCTCAAAATTTTAACAAGCATACATGTTAACTTTTCAACATGAACATTTTAAGATAATACTAAATGAACAAAAGCTCTTTGCTTTTAACTCTGCCCTCAATGATTATACTTAATACAAGTAATATATTGCCAGAAATAATTTTTTTCTGATGTCTAACTGCAGCTTGAAGAACTAATTCTGCTTGCTGTAGTGATGACAGTTCCTTCCAGGTACTAAAATGCTTCCTGAACAAGGAAGAGTTTGTTTTAAATCATCCTCTTCTACTTTAACAGCAACAAAAGGAGAAAATTTGTTCCAGTCATTTCAGTGACTAAACCATTAATACCCATGTTGAAGCAAGGAAAGAGTTACACAATGCACTGGTTTTTTTAACCTGCAGGACTCCTTCTCGGATTACCTCTCACTTAGCCTATTTTAAATTTGTAAATTTGCCTATTTTTGTTCCCCAAAGTCTATAAACTCTATACTATGGGTGGGCTGAATATAATTCATAGACCAGGCCCATGTAGTTGCAAAGAACTATGTAGGAAAGCAGAGTACTAACAAGCTAAGAGTGCATGCTATAACCACAAGCTAAGTCTATAAAAATGCAGTCAGTACCTGCACATTATGTTTTGGTTATATTTAATATGCATAATTATTTAAAAACACAATTGCCAAAATCCTACTATCACTCTTGAAATCTTTATGCATTTATAGGCTGAGAAAGCCATGCAAAGTTTTACCTGTAATATTTGAAAAATGTTTTTGCAATTTACCCTCAGAAATCCTATCATGCATTCCAATTCTATCATACACACTTGTTATAATGATAGAATCATTTAGGTTGGAAAAGACCTTTAAGATCAAGTCCAAACCATAACTTTTACTGTTAGTAAAGAAGCTGTAAAAATTAAGTAGTTTTAATTGTTGTGTATGCGTTATCTGGCATGTCAGTAAATGTTAAGTAAAAACGTTAAACTGACAGGTAAATAAATTTTAAAATGCTTGTCAGCGTTTTGACTTTCACAAGATCTCACCTTGTTTTCAGTTTCTGTCCATGCAGCATGAGCAACTTATGAGCCCAAATAAGATAGAACTCTAAATGACAAGATATCTCAAATGCAGAGGCCAGGAACTCCAATACTTTCTCCACGTACAGGTCTGGGAGTGATGAGCAGACAACATCAACTGTGCAAAAAGGAAAAAAAGCCCACAGGCATCAGAGTTGAATTACTATTTGGAGTAGCAAGAAAGCATGAAACATGAAAGCATAAGGGGAAGGAGAATAAAGCACCGTCTTGGCAACTATTTGATTTTTAATATTGAACTTCAGGGTACAGTACCACAGTCTCTCAGGAGGCAAATCTCTCCTCTTTGAGCCTTCCAATCACTACTGTATTTAAAAGCAAGAACTCAACTCCCTGCCCCCAACCAAGTTCTTCCTCGTAACAGAATACTCTCCCCACCAGCTCTCCTTCAGAACTTTTACTTCCACCCTTTCCTCCTCTTTCAGTGTAACTAGACTTTATTGAAGTTTCGTTACTTTTGACTTCATATGAATTTCTGTATTCAGTAGAACTAGTTACATGTAATAATCAGAGGCAATGCTTGAAAAGACAGCAAAGTCACCTGCTCAGAGTAAGTGTCTGAATGCTGTTAGCAACTGTGCAGCACAAAGCAGCATTATTTATTAAGCATTCAAAATAATCTCACACATAACTATGATGACCTCATTATATATAATCCTCTCTCAAAAATAACCAACTCCTGTTCTCTGCAGCCACCCCAACTGGCCTATGTAACATTCAACTGTGAAAAAAGTTTTCCGCTCTTGAAGAAACAGGCACACATTCATTCTGTTCACAGTGAATTACAATGCCTGAAATTTCCATGCCTCATGCTCTGCTCCTGAGGTTTTGGCATCTGCCTACTTACCCAGTCTTGCCTATGTACATGCAGTTTTGGTTAACTTCAGTAAAAGAGAACTAAGTTTTCCCAGACAGAGGCAAACACCATTATGCCAACACAGGTGCGCAAAAGATCATTTACCCTGACATGCATAATTATGGGGCTTGCTACCTAGGGAATAAGGTAAGAAAATCCTACAAAGCAGTTGGCTTGCAACACATCTGATTTCAGACTAGAGCATGTTTTGACTAGATATAAGGAATTTTTATTTGTTACACATGAAACACTAGAAGGAAATAAATACCTTTCAGTGGGGTAACAACAGTGAGCTAAAGCTAAGAAAATATACTTCAAAGTTAGTATGATGGAACTATTAATGGAGTTACAAAGTTAAGTAGAATACACTACTGAAAGTTTATTTTTAAGGTCATGTCTACCATATATAGCTAATGAATGGACACATTAGTTACCAAAATGATGAAAAGGGTGCTAAAGAATGATTTCAGTAAATAACCTCAAAGCTAAGTGACATCTTACCTATTCCTTTTGTTTCTGATGTCACAACTGTAAAAGCATCTGTCTCTTGTTTGAAAGAGCTTGGCACTTAACTAATAAGCTGTTTGGTTTGTGTGAACACAGACCTCTATAAGGACCATGTTTAAATTTGTTTAGAGGGATGGATTTAACAAACACTATAACTAAAGGACAAGATACCACCAAAATAATTTTATTGTTTTTAATATCTAGTTGGAATTTCCCATGTTGCAAGAGGTCTGTTGCCTCTTGTTGTATCATTGTGCAACCCCAAGTCTGGTTCTGCCTTCTTTCTAACATCCCATTAGGCACCTGAAGACAGTAAAAATATTCCCCTCCTCTTCTAATGACTGAACAAATGCAGCTCTCTTAAGCCTCTCCTCAGCTGTCATGCACTCTGGCCCTCCAATCATTTTCCAAGCCCTCCACCAGATGCTCCAGAGTATCAATGTCTTTCTTGTACTGTCGAGCCCAAACCTAGGCACAGCACTCCTGACATGGTCTCACAAGTGCTCAGTAGAGAAGACTAATCACTTTCCTCAAACTGCTGACTATATCCTTGATTGCACAGTCCAGTATCCAATAAACTGCCTTCATCACACAGGCATGCTGCTAACTCATGTTAAACTTGCTGTGCCACTCTAACATCAGCTGTTTCTGAGAACTGACATCCAAAAACTTCACCTGCATATCCAGACCTGATCAAATTCCATGTTGAAAAGTCACTAGATGAGCATGCAGTAGACTGGTAAAAGTAAAACATAAGTTAACACTAGAAAGTCTACTTTTTTTACAAAAGGCCACCCCTTCCTCTTTAGCCTTCAGCTACAGTATGAAGTCCTTAAATATCAATGTTATATCCCCCCCCGCCAAGAGCTAAACTCTGCCCTTTACAGCTCAACTTACTTGGCTTACACACCTCTGCTTACAGCTAGTTCAGCCAAATTTCATGGAAGATCCACTCACCTTCATTGCTAGGTACAGCCTCTATGACCTCCTGAATTAATTTCTTTTCGTTCAGCTTGAAGGCCATGATGATAGCCATAGTATACTCCTTCTGATGCAGTGTTTTGCGTATATTGCTGGGTGTGACATCAATATCCAGCTCAAAAGGATCAAAAATTAGCCCTGAGTCCAGTGAATAGATAAGAAGACCCTCTGTGGTGGTGGCTGCCCAACTTCGTCCTAGAAGAGAAGTAACAATATTTAAGAACAAAGCTGGGTTTTCTAGGATGGAAACAGAAGAGTAATGATAAACAGATGACTCTTCATTGTTTTCAAGAAGTGGATAAGACTGAAAGCCATGCATCATTGATGAACCTGTCAGCAATGACAATGCTTGTAAAAAATAGCAGCTGAAAGTGGTGTACACTTAAGTTTTCCAATTATCCACTGCACAGGAAACTAGACTACAAACCTAGCAGCACTGTGTAACACCTGGAGAGACCATCTCCAAGGCATTTGTACTTCATTATTACTCCTCCAATGCTCTACTCTTTTCCTTGCTTTATATGGAATAAAAAAAAACCCTACATTAATTGTCAATACTCACCTGTAGGAGAGAATCGCAGGCAAGTCACTCTTATTTCTGGTTTAAAGTGCCGATAACTCATGTCACCTAAAAGAGAAGTTTAGAAGTGATTTAATATATTCACCAAAAGTTCATGGTCTAACTATCAACTCTAACTATGCTGTTATCATTATGCTGAAGAATAATGCAGAACATGCCAAAATCTGGCAGAGTTAAAGACAGGGTAAGTAAGGGGCAGTCCATGTCGAAGAGATCCTACAGCTAAAGTGGTGGGACTGAATTTTGCTCTTTGAAAATTATATCAGGACTGCTAGGTTCCATAGTCAGGAGACCACGGTACCTCCTGTTTCTTCTTGTTTCTACTATGCAAAAGGGCCCACCTACACATCAGCTGAACACCTGCGTACCAGATCCCCATGGCTACAGAACATTCAGGTAATCCTAACTTTAAAACTGAGCTGAACAATTCAAACCCTTCTTATCTTGTATCGACTCTACATCAAAGGTTTTGATCCATATAAAACTAGTAACAAGACAGCAAAGCCAAAAGCCGTACCTGTTTTTACTCCAGGAAGAGGAATGGCAACACCATCTTCACCTCCAGCCCCTTCATCAATCAGAGCCATGCTGCCAAATTCGGTCATTTTTCTCCGATCCAAGTACTCCTAGAAAAACATGTAAGTTCACTGCACTGAATCTCCTCTCAAAACATCTGTATTCACTGAAAATCCTCCATACATTCAGGAGTTATCTAATGATTATTTCCTTGCACTTTCTTCCAAAAGCTTCTCCAAAATCATAGAGAAAACTGACAATTTCACAACAGTGGGCAACAGTGTCTGACCACAGATGAGAATCAGGCTGCTTCAGTCTTAGAGGCCTCAGAACAGCACAACACAGTTTAGACTGTGGTTTCATATTATTATGATGTTGTTCTACTTAAGAGATGCACTGATTTCCCAGATGCAGGCCCACTCTTCTTCCCCTTCAGGTTCTATAACTGCACTGTGCTAATGTAAGGGCTGTGTAGCCAGGCAGCTATGCAAATGATGTTTTAGGGACCTCCCTGCCCTCAATTTTTAAATACCCATCCCCCTCCAGGATTCTTTTCCAGCTGGCTCACTTCTGGTATCCTTTTAAGGATGTTAAAAAGGGTTACTGGAATTTCTTCCTTCTGATGCTTTTCATTGTTCACTTTACTTTTAAATGAATTCAATTTTCCATTTAACAATATTCAGAACCTGAGTTTGTAAAGGTCAGTGATGTTCTTGTGTGTCCACAATAAAATCCTTCATTTCTTTGCTAACATAAACAACTGACACTCAGGGAAAGTTAGCTTAGTAGAAAATATTGATAATTTAAATCTTCTCTTCAACTTTAAGTTAGGTGCAACTGACTTCACTATGCTTAAGAGTTCTGCTCATTCAATACAAACACACGCAATCTGGCAAGACTTTAGTTACCAGAGTGTCAGGAATTAATTTTGTTTTCCGAGATGTATTTCCTTATCACTCTCCTGCACAAAATGAACCTGTCCTTAATGAAACATTCATGAACCCCACTTAATGAGATGTTATACCAAAACCACAGTCTTGTGGGGGTGCGGGAATGAAAAAACCTGACTCCTCTGGTCACGTACCTCCATTGCATCTAAAGAAAAGTTGCATGAGATTTCAAATTTTTTCATAAGAATCTGTTCCTTGACATTATATATACAGACAAATTTTGACAATCCACCTGCCAGAATAGACTGACCATCTGCTGAGTAACACAGAGTAGTAAAAGATCTAGTAAAGAAAAAGAGAAAGTAGTTAATTCCACTGCCACATCCGAGCTAAAACATAAGTACGGTATGAAGACACAGAATAACCATTCCATGGAAAAAATTGAGATCTTCGTTCACACAGTATGTACTTAACACACGAAATCATTTACCACAAACACGTACTTGGTGCTTTACTATGAATCATAAACAATTTAGAACATCAACAGCTTTTTGAAGTACTTCCATACTTCTGATTCTGAGTTGCAGCTCAATGAATGAGCTCTCAGCTACACCCTACACAACACTAAGGATGGTCAGAAGAGCTAGAGAAAAAGCAAAGTCATGGTATGTTTTAAAGCGATGGTTGAGAGCTCATCACCGAAAATTTTTTTTTTTTTTCTTTTTTCAGAAAGCCATTGTTTCCTTTTTTCATTTTGTTTTGAGTGGGAGCAATATGGAAAAAAAGAGGGGCTCAAGGGAAAAAGAGAAGAATGAAACATGACTCCTATATTACCCTTTTTGACAGCATACAAATTCAACTTGCCTTTAAACATTCCTTCACATGCATAGTAATGTGTAATAAAACCCACAGCATATTTACATTTAAAAAATGTAACAGTTTCTACACACTAATAATTACAAACTAGTACCTACATAACAAGATATCCACTTAAAAGCCTAACACCTTTAGCAAATGAACAGCTTGTCATGCGAAGCTTAGTATTATGCTGGCAACCCAAGTTTATAACTGATGAAAAAGAACACATGCTCAGAATGATGCTGATTGGTGGGTGATCACAGCAAAAGACAAAAAGGATCCATCCAGACGTCAAGTCAGGCAGTCTTTTGAAATCCAACATCAGAATCAAAATATTTGAACAGCAGATGCACTCTGAAATCTTCCCGTAAAAACCAAATGAAAAGAAACAATTCAAAAGCAAGCCAGTGTGGCACCCTCTTTTCACTGCAATCTCATCTACTTACTTTCCCTTGGCTGCTTGTTTGGCAGTTATTTTATCAAGCTCCTTCCTTCCCATCTGAAGATCATGCCTTCCCTCAATTGAGCCAGTTTGCACTGCATTTTCATGATCCCAAAATGTTATCTGTCCATTCAAAGCAGCAACTGCAAGCTCCTTGCCATCAGGACGGAAAGCAACAACAAGAACTGCAAAGAATTTAATTAACAGTTAAAAATGCAGTCAGATCTGTTTCTAAGAAAATACCCTATATTTTTCTAGGATCTCATCTCAACTACCAGAAAAAGCTTAAGAGTAACAAGTATGACTGTACTTTTTCTCTGGACAACATACAAATGTTTAGCTAATTGTAAAGCTAGAGCTAGTATTAAATAAAAAAGATTTCTTCTACTGTTAACTAAATACTGTAGAAAACTATCTGAACTTTTGTTTTTCTTTACCAAGAATGAGTCTGTATTTAACATGTTCTGTTGTTTATTCTTGAAATATTTCTGCTAATATATTTATATTTGATATAAGATGAAATAAAGGTTACCATCTGAGTTCAGTATTAGTGTCTCCTTAGTTCTCCAGCTGTCTAACATATCCCATAACTTGACAGTTTTATCCCAAGAACCACTAGCTAGAACACACTTCATTGGGTTAAAGGACAAACTGCTGATGGGGCCCTCATGACCTGATAAGACCTAACAAAAAAAGAAAAGATAGCATGGAATTAGGTGAAAGAAACTGAAATTCATGTAGTCTGCATTCAGTAAACTCTAAACATAGCAATGAAAACATGCCTAACTTGTCCACACATGCCTGAGGTCACTTTTGGAAATGTGGCATGATACGTACCAGTGATTCTCAACTTTTTATTTTCAGAAGTTTTAAAAAAAATTCACTGAAATGCTACCACTGCATAGGCACCTACAACCACTCTTATGCATGCACATAGACTCTTTACAGACCAAGACTTAGGGATACGGTGTACTTCCCCCCCCATCAGAACAATCAGACCAACTGTGAAAAAGCGAGTCATTGCTCTGACAATTTAGTATGTCCTGCAGCTGAAAACATTTAAGAAAAAACACTAATAAAAACTGTGAATAAGAGTAATATAGATTTTGATGGCACGGAGCTCCTACTCCTCTCAAAAGAAATCAAGGAAAGAAACTAAACTCAAAACTCTGGAGATCCACTCAAGTATATGCTGAGTTACTATAGTGATATATATTCAATAGCTATACCAGATTAAATGCATGAATTGCACATGTGCAAGATGTACAATAATGCTTAAGAATTGAAAATAGCAAATGCGTTTGATTTACTTGGAAGTACTGTGTCCCTCCTTTATTATATCTACTCTGAAGAGAAGGCATTTCAAAGTAGCAGCAAGACAGCGGGGATTTAATAGTTTTCTTACCCTACATTACAAAAACCTTCTACACAAAAAATGATGTCCCTACTCTGCTCCAGCAAAACTGTCCACAAAATCTGTATTGATCTTAGGACAGTACCTACAATTTCTTCATTACCTGCAGAAAGTATGTAGAAGAGAACATCTCTGAACAACTGCTGGAGGAAAGACTCTCATGCCCATGTGTTAGCCCCGCAATATTGGTGTTACTTCATCAGCTAGCAAGAGCTCCCTACTCAAAAACTCTAAAAAACTGTTTCCCACACAAATCCAACATAGCCTCCATGCAATAAATAAAAAATTGCTGAGAGTAACATAGTGTAGCTCCAGTTCTTGAATATAAACACAATAAAGCACATCATGTTATATTAAAACCCTCCCACTAATCCCAAAGTGACTTAGTATCATCACGATCTATATTATGTGTTAAATTCAAGCCCTCCAGCATTGTAAGTCCTTACATCTAGCAGCCTCCCACTCTGCATTGACCAGATGAATATTTCAAAGGAATCCTGAGAACCAGCTGACACGATCTCGCCACTGGAGTCCACAGCTAAACAAGAGAACTGACTTGGTCGTGGAGATGTAAAGGTACGGAAATTGCGGTATCTGTTGTAAATGTCAAAATAAATTATGAGAACGTTTTAGGTAGATTTAAACGTATGTTTTACAAACATACTGAAAAAAGGATTTCATTTTACTTGTAAAGTCTTTTAAGCTAGCTACAGGAAAAATATTCTTTGTATAAAATTAGATGCAACACTTCAGCATGATTCAAAGACTCAAAAAAGGTATTAACAACTCTGCAGAAATAGCAACCAAAAATACTCAAACAGAAGAGCTTTCTTCAATTACACAGCATATATCCATTCTTTAGAAAACATGGGCTTGTTTACATATCCAGCTCTGTACATAGTTGTATTATAATGGCTCAACCACTAAAACTATGGCAAACATTCCGTTAGACAGGTGCCATTTCCCCATTTGAGTAGTAGAGCCAGACAACGATCTTACTGGATTTCCAGCTTCTCTGAGAAAAGTTATTCCAGAATTTTCTTCACAGAAACTGGATGGAATGAAAGGTTTGCTAAATGCTATCCAAATTTGAACCAAAAATCAATAAAGCAGTACTCACATTTGTGCAACTTCAACTTGAAACAAACCATCAGCAGTTTGCTGTATTTTGGGAGAAGAAAGCTGAAGACTAAATAAGACACAAAAGCTTTTCATAAAGAGTTACCTGTGTAGATCAAAGGCACGCACTGTTCCATCTAGGGAAGCACTCAAAATGACATAACCATTGGAAGTAAAAGTTACAGCAGTTACACCACTGGTATGTTCTGTAAAAGTGACAAAACAAAAGCTGCTTGAAGTGTTCCACACTTTCACCTGCAAGAAAGACAAGAAAAGGATTCTTAGAATCTCCATCATCAGTTCAGAGAGAAAGTAAGGGTAATGCAGTAAAAGAGTACAGAAAAATTAGTCCTAGAACTCTGCAATAGCATAAAGGACTTTCGATACCATCAGTAAGGAATTCTATGCAAGTGAGGCAAACAGGCCACAGCTTATCATTAAACCCCTAAAGAGACATATACAACACGAAAATCTACGTGGAGAAAGACAAAAAAATTTTGAAACAAAGTTAATTTTCAAGGAAAGCTATAGCATTTGGTGAGTATCTTGGGCTCCCAAGCTTTGTACTGTCCACAGGTAAGACAAGTGTCAAACTCAAAACCAACTGTGAAGCCATTCCAGAAGTTACAGCTGAGATATTTCAATCTTTTTTTTTCCCCGAACAAAAATGTTATGCGTTTAGCTATCTGCAGTTCAAGACTGCTGGGGTTTGGTTAATTTTGAATCCGAGTATCAAAAAGCATGAAGTGGCAGGTCTTTTTCTGACATTCAGAAGTTTTGATAGGAAATAAGATACTATCTTTGTCCCATTTACATGCCAATAGACCATGGGATTACTCTACAAAAGATCTTAAAAAAAAAAAAGGTACATGTACACATAGCCTATCATTTCAATACAAGTCATCCACAAGAAGCTAATTTTTCTTTTAAATAACAAGCTTCTGCAATGTTCCATTTCAGAAAAATCTGTTTAGGAATTGCCCTTTTATAAGTAACTTGAAATTAATTACACATCAAACCCAATTATTAAAAGGGCATGAATTTGGGTGACTGAAGTTCATTCATGCCAAAATATCATAGAACCACCACAAGCATACATAAATTAACATCTGATGAATTACATCTTTTTGTGTTTATGGTGACTGCATCTATAAGAATTAAAAAATCATCTGCTAAAAAGCATAAGTGATGCAATTTGCAGAGGATACCAGCAATAATAAATCAAAATATATACGCTGTAAAAAAATATGTATCAGTTACAGTAACAGATCTTTCCACATAAAATGGAAGTTGAAGCTGCTTACTATGCTATTAAGACTTAAGTTCATATTTCAGTAATATTGCCCCACTTACTTTCCCATCCTCCCCGCCAGTTACTATGTATTGTCCATCTGGAGAATATGCTAATGAAACCATGCTGTTGAAATGTCCTTGCTGCTTCAGCACATAGGACTCGCTTTGCCATTCCCACACCAGGAGCTGACCCAAACCTGTAAACGCATGAGAAGGATTATGAATACAATGACCCTGCAAATGCAAGCCACAAAACACATTAATTGCAAGCAACGTAAAAAAAAAAAGGGTCGATGCAGACAGGTTGCGCTATGCATCTATCAATCCTAATAAAAGCCCTTTCCCTTTTATAAGTTCAAGGCAACTTTCCTCAAAAAGCAGGAGCTGTTACTTGGATTAACATTCTTAATACTACAACAGCAATGCTATCAACCAGCTGATAAATGAGCTGGAAAGAAAAGCAGGACTGCATACAAAAGTATAATCTTGGTTATACGTTTATGATTATGGACTGGGTGGGAACATTGGAATATCCAGGCAGCTTTGTAAAATGGCATGTGCAACAAGTGGCAAAGGAAGAGAGACTGGGCCCAGAATGAAAGCATATTGTAAACTACAAGGCATATGGGCTTTATCCTAATTCTGCTAGAGTTTTCATATATGAAACACATTTTCCTCCTTCGTCAACAAAGTATTTTCCGGAATCATAAGAATTCTGTGAGAAGAAATTTATTAGGGATACTTGCTTTACTGTATCTAGACACTACAGAGATGAGACTATAAATTATTAACAAAACTTTAACATTTGGATTTGAGACGAGTAAGAGGAATTTGGGCTTGCATGCCCACAACATTCCTCATTTTTCCATGAATACAGACTAAAAAAAAAATTTACAAACCTGAACAACCAAAGGCAATCCAGTCACCAGTACAGTTGATAGAAATAGAAGCTATCCTTTGGTCTGAAATACTGAAGTAAGAGAATTACCCAATAAACAAACTTGAGTTTTCACGCCTTGTGTGATAGAACTTCAAATCTAGGGTTTATTACGTCTGTTCAAGCAAGTTCTTTGACTACTTTACTGAACTTCACTGTAACGCCAAAAGCCCCATACAAATTCTTTCCTTTACTATACTCAAAAACATGAGACAAACTGCCTTATTTGGAATGAAGACAAAGAGTATCTACATCCCAAAGAAAGATGTACTTGCCAGTACAGAGCAAAACTCCCCACATTCAAGAAAAAAAAAAAAGTTTTCTTTTCTGCAGGGAAATTATGCCTTCTTTAGCTAGTATCATACAGGGATGGAAAAGAATTATGGTTTTATTTTTCAACCTAGAGACAGTTTACACATAATTTTACATATGTAGAACTTTTTTTTCAGGTATTGTCTTTATTTTCTAAAAAGAAACTGAAAACAAAGTCCAAAGCATTGAAGAAATTTACAGACTAACTAACTAACTACTCAGGAGTTCTTCATGCAGACCTCACTTTTCCATAATAAGCTATGGAATGGAGTTGCATGGTATTTATTACATGAGCCTAACTATGATTCTGCCTTCCCAGAAATTACCATACTAAATAGATACTCATGTTTTAAGATTTTTGTGTTGATTATTCAGCCTTCACTACTAAACTTAGTGTGTTTTCAAACAAACAATGCCCCCCCCCCCCCACCAAACCAAAAATACAACCCCACACCTCACCTCAAGGAGTGGATCAGGTTGAACTCTGGAAGCTCATGGAGGTGAAAGATTCCAGAGGCAAAGCCAGTGACTAAAAGGTGTGTTTTCTTGTGATAGGCTGCAGATGTCAGGTTATTAAAATCTCCTTCTTTATTGAAAAAATACCTGGCATCAAAGAAATAAGCAGCAAACAATGTGAAAGAAAAGTATGCTGTTATAGCTGCTTTCCAGTATAGGGCAAATATTTTGATCAAGGTATCCTACAACAAAACTAAAAAGCAGTAGTTCCAGAAATTGCTAAATATATGTGCTTTACATAGCTAGTGAAAGCTAATTCTTTTCCTCAATGTTTACAGCTGCTGCAGTAATCTGGTTATCAGAAGTGACACCTGATCACATGCAATGAAAGGGACTAAAAGTTAACCTCAGAAGAACTGCACTGTGCATTTCTTTTTGATCACCTAATGCCAATATGGATGGCTCTCATGAATTCACTGGTTATCCTTCTATATGTGAGTCCTCTTACAGAGTAAGGAATTGAAGCAATAGTCGTAAATACTATATGCCTAGTGAAGAAGGTTTTCTTAGCTTCTTTGTAGCTGTATCTCTTACTAGAATTAAACAGGTAAGTCCCACGTGATAGTCAATTAAAAGAGCAGCTGAATATTATCCAACAGTTGTATACTCCAAATTCCTTCAATCTGGAAGCGATGTTCACTAAGGCTAATTCCAACCTGGGTTGGGGTAGAGTACTTTCTTTATACTTCCTTTACAGTCAGAGGCTGAGAACACAAGCCTAATGTCAGGTGTTCCCAATTGGCCCCTACACACATCCCATCTCTCCCTCACTCCACTAGAAGAGATTGCCTATGAACATTATCCTTCTTCAAGCAAAGCTAAATGCTGCGACTATCTTAAAACTGGATTATTCCTTGTGAGCCACATCTCCTTTGATGTGGACAGATAGGGAGATCCTTCAGGAAGGCATCTCCAAGTAGTTCACCAAAGAGGCTGACGAGCTATCTTTATCAAACGTTGCTGTCACCTCTTGAAGACAACCACTCTCTTCCTGCAAGAGCTCAAAGCCTCTAGACTTAAGAGGATACTGTACTAAAGACCTCATTACACTTTTTGAGTTTCAGACGATAACACATACACCGTAAGTCAGTATTTCTTATTAAAATTACACTGACTCATTATTCTGAAGGTGAAGGGTATTGCCCTTCATGTAGTCAAGATAAGACAAATGGGTGTTCTACTGAAACTATTTAAAATGGGATTTATAGTAGATTACTAAATTCTGGGCAGAGTTTTATACTGCTTCGAATGAGTGAAAAAGGGTGAAAAAAGCCCAATATAGTAAATCCCCATAACAACTCTATCTTTGGAAAACTGAAAATCACTTACTTTGCAACACGTGAATATTTAACCTTATCTCTAGTCTCACGTTCATTTGGATTGGCTTTTCCGTGAATTTCTTCACCCTTTGGCTCTTCAAGAAACTCTTCATCATTTTTTGCTGCACTCTTTTCCCTAGCTGCATCTTTAGGGGGCATAGGCTTCAAACCATCAAGCTCCGTATCACACTGCCACACACAGAGAGCTGCATCCTGGCTAATTGTGTACAGCTAGAACACAAACACACCAACATACGATTATCATGTAATACCTATGTTCTGTAGTCTGCTGTCTTGGTATGAATCTAGACTTGCAGAAGAGTTAGCAAGTCTGCACTCTATCATGAGGATAATACATTACTTAGTCCTCTAGAATTTGAAGTGCTTTGATTTGGAAAATTCACTTGTCCCGAGAACTGGTGATTTACTTTACCTGCCCTCAGATAATTTTTGAAAAGACCGAAGGCAATTTGTTTACCAGTTAGCACTACAGATAATTAATCTTTTCATATTTAAAACTGTAACTTTTGGGGGGAGCAATTTTAAATAACTTACTCTCCTTCTAAAGTTTACTTCTTCAAATGTTCATGGAATTGTAAACTCCCAATCGCAGCAGAGGAGTCGAGAGATATACTGCTCACATATTTTCTAAATTCTGAGATATTACCAAAATAATTAGCATCCTGTGAAAAATACCTGATCTACAGATCAGATTCTGCTTCAACTATTTTAATACTAAAATTCAAGAACATTATGTGATTATACATACATCTAGACTGTTCTCTTCAAAAAAGCAGGCTACTATTATATCCTTATGCCCTCCAAGCGAGTAGTAGATCAAGTTTGCCCATCGTTCTGCTCCAAACACCCATGTAGACATGTCCTTGCTCCCTACTGCAAAACATCTACAAAAGAAAAGGCAATTTGAATTAGAACTCTGGTTTGCAAAACTCTTCACTGACTGGAGAATCTGAGCAGAAAGATACACCAATCACCACCTTAAAAGTAATTTTACACACAAGAGAGTTGTAAACTGAGTTTGGCAACTCCAGCAAAGGTAGATGGGATTAAACACATTCAAAAGGTCAACCGTGGTCACATTCCTAAGATATGTTCCTTGTATGGATAACTAGACATTCTCAAGCAAGAATCCATTGTTGATCCATAATACATGCATATTTTATACTTTCTAGCCTGCCTAATTACAATTTTTTTAATTCAAGATAGAATGAGAAACAGAAGAGCCAAAAATAATTTTTAAAGCTAGTACAATACTTTAGAGCAAAAAAAATGGACTGTAACATGCACACGAATATTAACAATGTGAGCGGGTAGACAGTGCTTTAGTTTATTAACTCACTTGGAATCATCAGTCCAGTCAATACAAGTTGTTTCATCATATGGACCATAGTAAGTTTTGTCCAGAACAAACGCATTAAATTCTCGTGTCCTCCCAGGAGCATGGTACATAAGAGCAACATTGTCTTTTGTAATCACAAATTTCCTGTTGTATGGGGGGGAAAAGCATAATTGCACACAAAGCTGTTAAAGCAAACAATTGTTCAGTACAGACAGCAATACAATGAAACAAAACAATGTTAAAAACGTTTCCACGTTATTAAAGTGATAAATATGGATTGCTTTCGAATGCAAAACAAAAAGTTATTTGCAGACTGATATTATCCCCCAACTTACACATCATAAGACAGAAAACCTTCAGTAAAAATTATTTAAGTTGAATATTTATTCTCTAATTCTCAGAAAGGAAAGAAAAGTTCAAACATTCAAAACAGGATATTCTATTTCAACCTCTCTTCACCTCCATATATTGGCCACTTCCAGAAAAACAAATCATCTGCACCCCCTGTTACGCATATCCTTTAATCTGGTCCTGTTGCCAGTATAATTCTGTAACATAGAACTGCGATTCCAACTTCCAAGCAAAAACTCATTCAAGATCACTTTAAGTCAATCCAACTGAGGAATGCTGCCAAAAGGGGAACTTTGCACTTTTTCCTCTCACTGTTCTGATACTTCTAACATTTATGTCACCACACTTTGGATCTGTGACCATGCAGTTAAAATATAAGGGACATGAAAAGAAGCACTCAATTCAGAGAACTGCCTCTTTCAGTAGTACAGCTGTCTTAAGACTAACCCAAGTCAGCAGAGAAACTGCACCGCCACAAGTGCCATCATGCAACTTTGCAGCACTGACTGTCCCTCCCATGGGCTCTTTCACCTTACCTATGACACATAAGAACAGTTAAGACTCACAGCAAATCTTCTGTTTCTAAGAGTCCCACCATAGACAACATCTGTGACAGACAACTTTCCTGCCAGTATCTGTTTCCAAGGCTTTGCTTTAGCGCTTTTCTCTCCCTCTCAACTTTGCAGATGAAGTGACCCTGATCAGCTCTAAATCTCCCCTATGTTAATCAATAGGTATCATCCACAGATTAGTCAGAATGTCTTCATAATTACAACTAGCTTATGGGGTAATTTCTGTTGGTTTGTTCTAAAGCATGCACATTTTACTTACTTGCCATCAGGGGAAAAGCTGACACTGTGAACTGGCTTGTGAAAATAGAAGTGATGTATCACACATTTCCCGATCAAACTGACAAGCAAGGCAGCTCCCTCTGTAAAGGCAGAAAAAGAAAGATCATGGAAATAATCGAGTTCCCAAAGAAACCATAATGCTAGCAAGCTTAGTTTCTTTCCTTGGGGGGGGGGGGGGGAAGTACCTCCTCAGAAACTTTTAAAGTTCTGTAAATAAAGATATCTTCCCCAGAAATTCTAACATAATTTTTAAAGCAGAGCACTTCTAATTTGTGTTAAGGTTGAATATCTAGCAATACAGACCTTCCCCTCTTAAGGCTATATTTTTATTTCTTTCTTTTAGAAAACAAATGCCTCCTTTATGAAAGTACCTTCATCAATTAGAATGGCAAGACTTCCATCTGGAGAGAGCCCCACGCACACAATATTAAGCCGTGTAGCCAATGGGAATGTCTCACACTTATTACTGCAAGAAAAAGATAAAATGGTAAATTGGGTACAAGGATGCAGAAATAACAGTCATCTTTGGTATCAATGAAATACAGTCGGCTACCTACGCTAAAGCCGCAGAATCAACAGGTGTAAAACCCCCCAACGACTTTCTTTGGCTGTCACAACCCCAAAAACACCGTCTATGTAAGAGACGGGCTGCTGAGCAGAATACCGGCATAACGAGCATCAATCACAACTCTGGCCTAGAGGAAAAGGCAGATGACAGTCTAGGCCTTCCCACGTACAAGAGACAGTACAAGACAGAAGCACACAAGGAAACCATGCGACTACATCAAGTACAAACCTTTTTTCCTCCCCTCTTTGTTTCTAAAACACACCTTCACGTACGTCTTGCGCTATTCTCCCCCACAGACCAACGTACAGAAAATCTGCACTGCACAACACCTCGACACTTATTCTACCAGGCAGGCTTCCACCTTTTAACGCTAAGTCAGAAACTCTTCGGGATGTTTTGGAAAGCAAACCGCTCTGGAGACCCCCAGCCCACGCCAGCCGCGGCCCCACACGGCGCAGCACGTCACGCAGGACGGTGGGAGCCGGCGGGGCAGGGACCCCCCCGCCATGGGCAACGCGGACTTGGCTGTCACCCTGCCGCCCTCGGGTCGGGCTCCACAACCTCCTGAGAGCTTTACTTACCCCCCCCCCCAAATTAAAAAACCCCAACCAAACCGTGCTGGCAGTGCCAGGCCCTCCTACCCGCCCGGGCAGGGGCTGTCAGAGTGCTAGGCCGGCGGGCCTGAGGGGAGCCGAGGGGGGAGGCAGAGGCTGGGGCTCGCTTACTTCTTCAGGTCGAAGACGGAGATCCTGTTCCCGACGGGGCTGATGAGGGCGCTGCCATCGCGGGTGAAGCTGAGGTTCCCGCGGCGGTACACGGTGCCCAGCAGGCCGGAGAACTGCGAGGGGAGCAGGGGGAAGGAAAGAAGAAACCGGGGGGGGGCGGTTAAAGGAGCAGGGGAGGGGAGAGGAAGGCAGGGGCCGCCGTCCCACGCGGGCGGCTGCCGCCGGGCACTCACCCGGTACGCGAACTTCATGGCGGGGGGGGCGCCC